GCGACTGAGCCAGTCTCGCTGGCGGACGGGGGAGAACACAACGAAGGGCCGTCCGAAACACAATCACTAAGAAGGGACGTACGGACGTCCATCACTGGGATGAGATCGGGAGATATGTCTGAGACATGTCTGCCGAATATCTCCCGACTCTACAGCCGCCCACAGGAGCGCCGCCTCAACACGGGGTCTCGGCTCTATCGAGCCATGCTAGCTCCAGCCGCAGCCCCACCCGGCCGCCCGAGGGTGTTCCCGCAGGCAGAGAAGACTAATCCTGGGGGAAGCAACCGTCCTGTCTGGACTAGTCTTGTGTTTCTGCTCGATTTTATGTCGTTTCGCTCCATCACGCTCTCGTTCCCCTCGATGCTGGCGTTCGCCGCGCTCCATTGCCTCACGCGCGCGTCCTCTTTGCCGATGGCAGCGTTCATGGCTTCCCCTCACGCGGAATTTGTGCTCACTGAGCCCGCAAGTGCCGAGTCTTACGCACCTCCGGACCTCACACCGTGTCCTACGAGGTGAATGTTGATCTCGCAAACCTCGCCTTCGACTCGCTCTCCGCTTCTACGAGAGTGAGTCGACCCTCTGTCCCTCTCGACGTGCTCTGCATCGGCCGCTGGCACGCCCTACGCTTCTCGGATCGCCGACAGCAGCATCGGCTCCAACGTGCCGCTGACGCACCGTCGCACGGCCGGCAATCCGATCTTCGAGCCGCCCACGCTCTCCCCGACTACGTGGGCGACTCCACGCACCTGTCCATCGTCTCGCTCCTCGATGACGACGACACCCTCGCCTGTGGCATCTGGCTCTGAGATCGTCCACGGCTTCACTTCCAGCACGCCTCTCTTCCACGATGCGTCAACTGGGACCCGACTCGTGCTCGTACCTGCTGAAGCCACCAACAACGCCTCGCAGATCGACCTTGTCTCTCTCACCGGCGCGCCGTGGGCCTTTGCCACCTTCGTCTCCTCCAGCAATTTTACCGCTGGCTCCCCCCGCGCCGGGTTCTACATCCCCCGCCTTGTGTCGATCACGCCGCCACAAACGTCGACCAGCAGCGAGTGCGGTGCCGCCTTTACTGTTCAGCAGGTTGATCTCCGCGCCGCGCTGCAGCAGCAGCTCGACCACCCGCTCGTGGCCGCTGTTGGCGGCGTCCATCAGCGCGGTGACGCCATTGCTGTCCTGCAGGTTGGCATCCGCGCCGCGCTGGAGCAACAGCTCGACCACTCCTCGTGGCCCTCCTGGGCGGCGAGCATCATCAGCGTGATGCCGCCCACATCACCCGCCCCGCAAGTCGCATTGACCCGCCCGCCGCTTTCGAGCCACGCCAGCAGCGCCGCCTCGTCGCCTCGCCAGGCCGCTTTCCGCACCGCCACTTCTCACTCGAATCCGGAATGCGTGTGCGTAGTACGTGGGGCGTAGCGCGCCTGGAGAGGCACACCCCGATCGGCCGAAGGTGGATGCAGAAGACAGAATCGTAATACGCAAGACATTTGTAGCTCATTCAGGCGCCACTTGGCTCGGGCACGACACCGAAATACGCGACGTCTGGCCGACGCACTATGGATCGCGGGCGCGTATTTACATAACATGGCCGATCTGTGCATTCTGGGCGACTACATATGCGTAGCAGTACAGACCACCTCCGCTGCACTGAGGTGTCCGAAAATTCTTTTTATCGTCACTGGGCTTTGCCAGTGCGCGCCACCAGTCCCGTGCCCAGTGTCGTGCGAGGGAGTTTGTTGTAAAATCTTTTTTGTCGGGTACGGGACTGGCCTCGAGGGACTGGCACTGCAAAGGCGACGGCTTCTAATAGAAGCCGTCGCCCTCACAGATGCCGTCCTCCTCACAGAAGGCGTCGTCGGAATGGTAGTCAGGCGGACGAGACTATCCCTGATCCTGCTGAACAAGCTCCTCTTGTAGCTCGATCGGTCACACCGCCATCGCCGTCGGGGAGAGGGGGGACGACACTGCCTCGGCAGCGTGCACCTCGATCCTGTGCCGTGTTTGTTATGACCCCCCCCAATGAACACACCAGCGAGGGAGGGCGAGACGATCGGAGGGGTCCCGTACCATGCGGAATCGACCCTACTCGAGTATCAAGTGCTCAAGTGCTCAAGTCAGGCGGATGGTCGAATCCGCGAGCACCGTGGTGCTCGCCGAGAGGACCATCCCCATCATCCTCCGACTCCATCCCCCCCCTCCCGTCGCTCCCGCCGCGCCTCCAGTCGGCATGCGCCTCCAGTCGGCATGCGTCGTATATCTCACATTTACTTGATAAACCAGCCGATCCAACAATCCTTTCGGTTTATCGGGACGCGCCGGGATATCAAGTAAATGCCAGATGAATATCGTGTGTAACGACGCCCGGCCACAGCAGTGCATGTACATGCCAGTCGAGGACCTCGCCGCGGCGCACTGGCGCCGCTTCGTCTACCTCAAGCTGGCGCGTCGATGGCACGCGCTCTGGTGTCGCTGGAGCCCGAGCGGCGAGCTGCGCTCCGTCTTTGATGCCGAGCGGGCCTTTGAGCCGACGGGAAAAGGCTGCTCGATGCAGGTCGTGTACCACTACCGCGACGAGCGCGGCACGGTTGCGGAGGGTCCGCAGAGCGGCCCGTGGCACCTCACCGAGGAAGCCTGCAGCACGCCGCACGGGATGCTCCACCCGGCCTCGCCCGAGATGACGACGCTGCTGCTGCCCGGAGGGCCGAGCGCGTGGTGCATGAGGCGGAGCCCGGCGGGCACTCCCTGCGCCGCCGAGCTCTTCCTCCACCACGGCGACCACCTGAGGATGAGCGCCGGCGTCGTCCACTCCGCCGACGGAACGCTGCAGCAGCTCGCCCTCGTCCGCGAGGACGCTCGTGGGCCGTGGCCTTCGGCCGCCGCTGCCGAGGGCTGGTCCGAGAGCTGCGAGGCTGCGGCGGTCTGCGGCGCGGAGCTGGAACGCGCGCTCGAGCGGGCGGCCGCGCCGACGCGCGCGCCCGGCTCCGGCTTCGCAGTCAGCGCCTCGCTCGAGCAGCGCTCGCTGGCCGGCGCCGCGTGGCATAGCACGAGGGTTGGGTCGGCGGCGGCGGCGGACGCGGTGCTGCTGTGCGCCGGCGGGACAGTCGCGGTGGTGGCGCCCGCGCGGCGCGTCGCCAACCAGCCCTTCTCCAGCGCCGCCGCGTGGTGGCCTCCGCAGCACTCGACGGCCGACAGCGGCGAGGGCGAGGCAGGCGGCGGCAGGCGGCTGTACACTGTCGAGGCGCACTGGGATGCCGAGGGCGGGCTGGCGGAGGTGCGGTGGCTCGTGTTTGAGGCGTGATGGGAAGGGCCACACACCGGCGGCTGGTCTCCGCCATGGAACCGCTGTCAGTGTGAGCGAGTCTGGTGAGCCAGCAGGGCTGTCAGAGGAGACAGAGATATACACATAGTCATAGAGCCGTAAGAGAGAGCGCGCGGTGTGTGTGGAAAGTGTTAGCCCTTTGATATTTTTAACAGCAGAGCCGCAAACCTCAAAAAGAAATTTCTTTTCGTGTGAGAGTGGAGTGGAAGCCGTCGCCCGCAACTGGCCTAATAAATAAATTTAAATCAGTAACCAGCCTCCGGTGGGGCCCCCCGCTACCATCCAAACCCGAGTACCGGTCTACTATCATAGATAGAGGCTCAAGTGTGACATAAGTCCACACACATACGACATACACATACACAAAGCAACTCTCACGACACACGGGCACCGGGTGGAGCGGCGGCGGCGGCAGCAGCACGCGCGGGCGGACGGATTCGGACGGGGCGGAGCAGCGACCGCCTGGGCGGCCGCTGCTCTGGCCATGCCGCTCCGTTTGGCGTTGGCCACGACGCTGCCTTTCGCCGCCGATGGCTGCTCTCGCGACCCTCTCGTTCGCGCCGTCTGCCAGAGCGCGCCGTCTGCCTTGTACATACCGGGGGAAGTAGACACCACAGATACGCACACACCGACGCCCGAAGTGCGAAGAAGGACGAGGAAAGTCTCGGCTTTGGTTCTCACGCCCCGGCGGGGGGGTGATATTGGATGGGCACCCCGTGCCGCCGCGAGAAAAGGGCCCGTCTCTTCCCGCGATGTGTCGCGGACAAACCCAAGTAGAAGCGGGTTCGGGCGCGCGTGCTCCTCTTCGTTCATTTTCGGGCGAGGGTGGCACCACGCCGCGTGGGGCGAGAAAGAAAGAAAGAAAAAAACGGACAAGCCAAGGGAGGGATGGGAGGACGGCACGCCGCCACGTGGGGCGAGGGGGCAAGTTTGTGGGAACGAGAGAATCTTTTGTCCCGCTAGCCACGTATCTAGATATCCACGGGCGCTCCGGGCGACGATGAGCACAACGCTGCGCCGCTCTGGCCGCCGCCTCGCCGCTGCCGCCACCGCCACCGCCACCGACGCTCCTCCACCGCTGCTCGCCCTCGCGCGACCTGTCCGTCCACCGACCTCTCCGCCCGCGCGTACGCCACCGCCGCCTCCACCGCCGAGTCGAAGAAGCCGATGAAGATCTGTCGTCCGTCCACCGTGTGGTACGCCGTGAAGCGGCCCGACGCCCAGGGAGGTCGGCGGCCGCGCGAGCCCGGCGCCTGCTCCTGCTTGCGTACGCCTGCGTAGCCTGTGCTGCTGCGACTCGAGAGGTGCAGCCGCCAGCCCTGCGCCTCTGTCACCACCGCCGGCGCCTCCCCCGCGGGGCCCGTGTGGGATGGACCTGCGAAAGCGCGGGGAAGGGAGAGTGCATTGAGAAGGCAGAGCCTGAGCACAAGAGGGGGGCTTGCTCGCGAGCCTTGACTTGCATCGACTTGATTACAACGAGTCCAATCGAACACGGGGTCTGGCTCTCCGGCTCAAAACCGCTCCGCATTGATCGGCAACCTCGCATCAACGTCGAGCAGTGTGGGGCACGAGTATGGGAGAGAGGAGTGCGCAACGGGAATGCATGTGGGGCAAACGGGTCAGCAAGTGAGTGGACCACGCGCCAGCACCGCACACATCGGCCAACGAGTGCGTCCAGCGCATGCCGTTCTCCATCACCGTCTTGTCGATCGCCCGCGCGTACGCCACTGCCGCCTCCACCGCGGTGCCGAAGGAGCCCGCGAGTTTGTTATGCCTCCCGTTTACCGTGTACTGCACTATGAAGCGGTTGTGACTCTTCGACACCCCCCTGTATCCGGTGCTGCTGTTGCGGGAGAGGTGCAAGCGCATTCCCTCCGCCTCTGCCACGCACGCACGCCTTGCCCTCGCTCGACGAATTGCTCGACGAGTGAGCGACCTTTTGTCAAACTCATCCCACTTACGCTGCAGAAAGCCAAGCGTTGCGCGATCCGGCTCTTCCCGTTCCGTTGGCCTGCTCGAGAATGACCTGCCCCGAAACTGCATGACGAGCGGCCGAAGTTGTTCGCCGAACTCATCAGGAGGGGGCGGCGGACCGACCTCCGCAACATGGGTCTCGGCCTCGATTGCATGCACGGCCTCGGTTGCCAGCCTCTCGGCCTCCAGCCTCTCGGCCTCCTGCCGACCCATGCGCACGCCCTCCTTCGAGCGGGAGGGGGACGCGCCAGCACTCCTCATTGCCTCCGTTCTCTTGCGTCGAATCGTGTTGCGGTGCGGCAAGCAATCAAACGCGTCCCACTTGGATCGCAGAATGCCGAGAGTGGCGTGGTCTCGAACTTCCCGTTCCGTTGGCCTGCGCGAGAATGATCTCCCCCGGAACTGCATGACAATCGGCCGAGGTTGCTCGCCAAACTCGTCAGGGAGCAGCGGCTCGGCCTCCGCAACATGAGCCTCGGCTTCGATCGCACGCCTCTGTGCGAGAGAAAAAATTGACGATCGCCTTGCGTCGGCAGCCAGAGGCGGCGGGGCGGCGGGAGAGGGCGGTGGTGCGGGCGGTGATGCTGATGATGTGGCCATTGGCCGCCGCCGCGTCCTCTTTGCGAGCGCTCTCGGCTTCCGTCCCTTTTTACGCTTGTCCCCCCCCTTGCTCGTATGTCTGACTTTTCTGCGGGTCAGGCCGGGGCCTCTCAGCAGTCTACTTGGGTTTGTCGTCATTAGTACGAAACCTCAGAAGGCCATGGGCGCCGAGAGAACATTCCCCCGAGAGGACAAGAAGAAAAGGCTTCGCACCCTCTCCTTGCGCAGTGACCCTCGCTAAAAGTGTCGCCGTTATCGGGGCACGCTATCCTGCGCAGGCAGGGCAAGCGGGGGAGGGGGGCAGTCCCTTTGACGTATGTATGTATCTCTGGGTTCTGTCTCCAGTCTCGGAGGGGGGCAAAAAGATAAGAAGATCTTTTTTTTTTGCGGTCGGATCCCCGCTCGGAGATCACTTTTCCCGTACCAGCCGAAGGTGGCGTCTCCTTCGTGGGATCCCCTCCCCCCCCCCCCCCCCGCTGACGTGTCGACTAGGTCCAGCCCTGGGTGGCGCAGGTTGTGACATTTGGCGATTCCGCGACTTACTGGGGCCCTGAGCCGCTACCCGGGGGCGATTTTTTGTGGCCCGGACATGATACTGAT